CCTCAGCCGTGCCGTTGCTCTGCGGGGCCCGGGTCGGCGAGAGCCGCGCTGCGCTCTTCCCGGGCCCGGCGGCGGGGCGGCTCTCCCCAGACAGGTCCTAGGCCTGTCCCAAAGCCGGGCTGCTGCTGGGGTACATGCTGGGAGTGCCGAGATCCACCCCCGGGCTGGGTTTTTCCCCATGCAGTGCCAGAAGTCACGACTCACATCGTTATTCCAGTAGAAGTTACAAAAAAAACCCCCACCAAACCCACCCCACTTTATTAAAGCCCTTAACAGAACAGGAAGCGTATGCATGCTATATATGCTGTTAACATCGGAAATTCTACAGGCCTGACTTCGCACTGCTAACTTCAAATTGCGGTTTCTGTCTCAATGTGTTTCAGTGACAATAATACAGCAGAGAAAGTCACCAAGGTGCAAGCTTCGCACCCAGACCCACCACACCACCCTCCTGCTGGAACCATCCTTAGAGGATTTTGGTCCACAGCTACGATCTTAACAGCAGTCATTGTGCAAGTTTAATTTGCAATGTAAGTTCCCGTTTATAACGTGTATCTTCAGACTTTTTTTTAATATCAATAGTGGTGTACAATACGTGAAAATATCCCTTCTGGTTCTTTTCCATCTCCCAGGGCAGCAAGGAAGCCTTCTTGTCTCCTCCGCTGGGCTAAGGCAGCTAGGGACTTGAACGTCTTCGGCTCGTAAATAGCCAAATCGGCAATCATTTTCCTATTCAGCTCCACTTGGGACTAAATGCAAGAAAAACTGTTGGTTGAGTACTGTAATTTTTAGGAACAACACTACAATGCTTAATGGTTAGCTGAGGTCTTAAGGCAAATTATGTTTTTCTGTGTTGTACAATTTTGGAACTATTAGTCAGAGAACTGTCAGACATGACTACTTGGCCATGGATGTCTCATTAAGCCACTGTATAAAATTTGTTTACTGACTTTCTCAAAGTCTGGTAGAAACCAAAAACGGAAGAATAATGTCTTATTTCATGGAAGGCCACGTATTACAAATTAATCCATGGCATTTGTCTCACTTCTTAGACATATTCAGCTTTACTTATTGCGCTAGAAGTTGCTTGGTATCTTAAAATGTGTCCTGGAGTAGAGAAAGAAAGACTGCAGGATGAAATACTCTTAGCAACGCTAGATACTGCACAGTTAACTGCATATTCCAGGAGGGAGGTATTATATGAAACAGGTTGCTTCTTTTGGATCTTTTAAGAGAAAACATTACAAAAATACATTGCTCTGAGACAAGAATCAAAGGGACAGGCATCTTGCGGGGAAAGAAAAAAAAGAAAAATTACTTAGCTTTTAGGCAGCGTTTGATTCTTTTGGTTACAGTATGACAAGAGTAACCAGGAGAACAAGTGTTTAGATTTCAGAAACTGTATTACTTTACAGGAAACGTCAGAAAACTTAGAAAGTTATCTATTTATTTGAAACATAGATAAAATGTTTTGAAGTATGCTATAAATTTATATATAGTTCCACTTTAAGAAGCAAAACCACTACCCTTTTATGATGATCACAGCCAAGAGAAACAAGTTTTAATTTTACAGCTGCATTATCAATAAATTAAAACCAATTCCCCAGCATGTTTAAGAACAAGGAACAATGGCATCAACTGTCTGCATTGTCCATGCTCTCCAAAACACAAAGCTAATAGTGAAAAGAGTGGAGAGTTCTTAGTGTTGGTTTTGCTAATCCAAGATTTGTATTTTCAAATGTGTTGAAGTAAAGGCAGCTGTCAATTAATGCCTGCAGTAGCAACAAGTGTAAAAGCATTTTACAAGTCTTGTTCTTGAAGTAAAAGTTTTGGGGACAGAACAAGGTGTAGAGCAACAATATTCACCAGGATAAAAGGGAATTCTGCATATAAGGAAGAGAAACAGGTTTAGGGTGGAACTCAGTTCCTGAAGTGAACAAAACTCCTTTCATAAGCAGAAGGCCTTTCATCACTAGAACTAAGAAGCAGGACAGTGTTGGCAGAAGTTCAGTCTGACAGAAGGAGCTTTTCAATCCCTCCATCATGCCCTATGCCACTATTGCCTGCTCAGGCTCCAGTTTGGAAGTCCCCACCATTATTCTTGGAAGACTGGCAAGTGGAGGCTGCAGCTTCAATACCTTGCAGTTGCGTTCTTAGTCAGTAACCAACAACCCCTTGATATGTTTTGTCAGACTACATCTACTTGAAAGATTTCAGAGTTTTAAGAAATTAATTTGCCTGGCACTTCAGAAGACCTCTATCAGACATTTTCTCCATTTTTTTGTTTCAAAGTAATTATTCCTCAAGCATCATCCTTACCTTAAGCAGATTGCTTATGAAAGCTGGGTATTTCAAACCATGTTCAAGAGAAGCTGCTTCAATCCTAGTGATCCAGAGCTAAAAGTGTAAAAATTAACATTTTGCATGATAAGATATTTTAAAAGTAAACCTTTTGTCATGCCGATCTGCTTAAACTTAGTAAATATAACATTTTCAGACCTAACAGTCTCTCAGTGCAACATATACATGTATGAACTTCAGAATGTGAGCTATTTCAGACCAGAGGGACTATGCTTACTTTAAACTCATATTTTTCACCCACTGGTTAAACATTTTGAGGGAACCACCCAGTAAGGAAAATGGCTATTTCAGTTCTGCTCTTCTCCCATTTTAACGTTTACACCTAACATTTTGCTCTTTACCGCTTTTAGGAATCTCTTCTTCTCTCTTCTGGCCTTTGTAGACTTCACAAACGCTCTCCGAACACTTCGTACAGCCAGCTTATAGCAGCGGTTCTTCCTTCCACGAAAATGCTGAAACAAAACCAAGATGTTCTTCAGTTATCTTTAAGGCTGTTAAACCCTTCAGTAATACTAATATATGCTCATTTGCATTTCACAACTCTTCATAACAAGGATCACAAAATACTTCACAAACATGAGCTAAGCCTTCAGTTGGCATATAATGAAAATATTCTTTCATTTTTTTATAGCATGGGAAACCTGAAACTGAAAAGTTGGAGCAGGCTGAAAAAATTCAGTCCAGCAGGAGGGAGCCAAAACCAGACCTCATTTTAGGCTGGGGTTCCAGAGGGAACACAACCACAAAATCATCTTCAGTGCTTCCAGCCAACCCCTAAACTCACGCATTTATTCTCATTCCTGAGCTGCCCTCTCAGTTTTGTCAGTACAAAACCAGGGATGGGACAGGAGCCTCTGATATGTCAATAACATTGCAGTTGCCCAAACAGAAAGCATAATGTAAGTTTACTGGAGCTACCACTGACATCCATCTAACATGATGTAAGAAGTAGCCAGTGCTTCACAGTCGGGAGAAATAAATACTACTGGTACTGTGGGCAGCTTTAGGCACTACAAGAGCAAGATACTGTCACTTAAGTCAACATTTTCCGTCTGCATACTACAGCAAGACATAGTACCTCCCAGAATGCTAACAATCTATCCTTGAAAAAGGTTATTCCCGAGCCCGGGCACAATAGCTTGAACTTCAGTTGAAATCATGTTGTGAAGCAGTCACTTTCGCCTTCTAAAATGCACTTGAAGAGCAAAGTTAAAATCTTTTTTTTTTTCCCCTGCTCCTTTAGCCAGTTAAAAAACCCAGACCGACCAACCCCCCAAAAACACAACCAACACCAGTCTACAACGTGCTGTATTTAGACTGCTCTGCCTGTAGCGCTTGTACTCCTTCTGCCACAGGGTTCTCACTTTTATTCATACCCATCCACATGCACACATGTGCTGTGTTACGGCACAAATACCAGACGCGTTTATGGCCTCCGGCCTTAATCAAATACAGACAAATTTACATACACAGAAATTGCTAAATTGACCTAAGTCAACTTCACGGGCCCTCGACGTTTCTAGGAAGAAGCGCCATTAGATTGCTCACTGCCTGACTTCCCTCTGCTGGGGAAGGGCTTGCGGACACCCGAACAAGACGACA